TGGTGGTCAAGCTATTGCAAGTCCATATGATTTACTCTGTCCTCCTGGACACTACTGCCCGATTGGTTCCTGGGAACCCTTACTATGTCCAAATGGTACATTCCAACCCCAGAGTGGACAAAGTGAATGTGGAGAATGTCCAGCTGGATTTTTCTGTGATCCAACCAATGGTAAGTCACTTCTCATTTTATAATTTTTTTATGACCCTAATAATCCATTAGAATAACCAAAATAATATTTTTTCTTGCCAACTGCAAATGATAAATACATTCACCCTCTTGTTATGACTTGTATACTGCATTCCGGAATTTATTTTCACTTTCAAACTTAATTGCAATTACTGGAAAAATGTGGTTTAACCTTTTCACCACCAGTTCCCTCTTTTCATCACAAATTCACAAAATAGTCCTGTTTATAGTCTGCACTTTCCTTCAGAAGATTGTAATAGCCAAATTTTTTTGAGTAAAAACTGAAGAAAAATTTGAGCAAGAAAGTCTGTTGGTGAAAAAGTTAATTTGCATATGCAAAGTATTTGAATGGGTAATACTGGTATATGTGTGTGATGAATGACAGCTCTATATTTGTCTGTTCGTATTAGTAATGTTTTCATCCAACAAAGTTTTATTAGACAAGACAGGTGAAACTAGTATGAAATAAAACCTTGATTCTTCAAAATTGTCAAACAACGATTTTTTAGTTTGACTGTCAAAGTAAGCATTTTGTCAAACGAAGAAAGAAAGAAAGAAATCTTTCTCGTAGGAAATATAGAAATATTTATTTGTTTATAATCTGACACATTCAAATATTGTTTATTGGTGCAAATTAGATCAGGGTGATATGAGCCATGTATATGGTGTAAAATAACAAACAAATTGGCCTTGTGTCTATTTGCTGTTGATGAGTTTTTGTGCAAGGTATCTGAGTTAATAGTAATTACTATTTTTTACTATTGTATGTTGACAGGTACTGCAGCTGTTCCTTGTCCACAAGGATACTACTGCCCCCCAGGAACGGCTATAGGTGAAGCCAAACCATGTCCAGCTGGTTCCTATGGAGATGGTACGTATCTATGGAATGTTGACAACTGTACTGACTGTACAGCCGGCTTCTATTGTGAAACCCCGGCATTAACTACACCAACTGATGAATGCTTTGCTGGTTATTACTGCACTGGTGGAGCTGCATCACCAACACCAGCAGGTCATCTTGTCGATTACACCGACAATTCCACATTTACTGGTAACGATATTTGCCCACGTGGGTACTACTGCATGAACGGAACTGCATATCCAGAACCATGCCCGATTGGTACGTTTTCAATAAATACTAAAGTAACCCAGGCTGAAGACTGCGAAGAATGTAGACCTGGTCACTACTGTAATCTACAAGGTTTTGTACGGGTGGATGATGCACCATTATGTGATGCTGGCTACGTATGCACTGGTGGGAGTTCAACACCAACGCCAACCGATCCAGCAATGGGCTACATATGTCCCGCTGGATATTATTGTCC